TTATTTAATTCGGAGTATCAAAATCATTAAATTAATTAGAGTAGCAACTTAAATTTTTTAAATTATCTGAAATTAGTGTGAGAATCGAATAATTTTGAAAATATTAAGCGTATATTAAAAAAGTTTTTGAATCATTAACTATTGATTTTATTTTTGCTGATATTGGTAAAAAGGATTAGGACTAATTAGCAATTTTTGGTTATGCGGCTATTATTTTCAAAAAAAATAATTAGTTATTCTTGTAACAATCAAGTAAAATTTCAAAACCTAAAAATAAATTTATGTTTAAGCATTTAAATGAAGGATCAATAGGAATAGGTTTTTCAACTTAATAAATAATTTAATTCTTCCATTCATAAATAAAAACTTCATTTTCTTATGATAGAGCGAAAAAATGTGTATTATTTGATGCTAATGATAAAAATTCTAATATAGATCTTTAATATTTACATTTCCCTTTTGTACGATAAATTTCTTAATGCTTATTTATTAATTCAACATATGGAACTTAAGGATGAATTTTGCAGGTTAAGATAAGGTCATTAAAAATTTCAGATAAGTCAAATTAAAAAATTTCACCTTCTGTTGGAAATAATGAGAATTAATTATTATGGTCTGTTAACCCATATATAAGCATATATGGTAAGAAATTAATAATAAACATTGTGAAATAAATATTATTGAATAATAATAATTTAGAGATTCTATTTTTAATTAATTATCAGATTTTAAATCTTATGAATTTTTCTTAATTTTGTTTATAAATTTGAAAATTTAACAAAACCCTTAGCGATTAAAGAAAGGAATGAAAAAAATTATTTATTTTTAAACAGAAATAACAAAAATATTTTTTTTATAAATGGATTCTAATATGAAGCTATTGTTATTTTTATTTCATTATTTATTAATCTTAAATGGACAATTAACAATGAAATTAATTGCAAATAGATGGTATCTTTTTTCCATATACAAAAACAATTTTTTGTAGATTTCTATAAAACTAATCATGCACTGTTTCTTCAGATATCAATCTGAATACATTAAATATTTTTTGTTAATAATTTTCCTTATTTATGATCTGTTACTCCTTATTTAATTTTTAAGTATACTATTATATTTTTATATTTTATTATTACTGTCATGTTTTCATCAATATTCATATATAAATTTAATAATACAACCAATTTTTGCCTAAATGTAGAAATTACAAGAAAATCAATAATTTAACTCTGTTATTTATTTATTTTCATTTATCCATTATTTTAACTGTTTATATAAGAATACTTTAATAAGATTTATTAACTTGGAGTTGTGATCAAGAATAATTTTAAGCTAATGACTTATGAATGCATTGTTTATATAACTGTATTGCCTGTACTGATGCTTGAATTTGTGATAAATGTAAGCCAGGTTTTTCTGTTACTGCAGTAATTTCTATATGTCTTACTTGTTAAAATGGATGCAAAGTTTGTATTATATTATATTGTCTCAGACAAATAAGATCAAATATATAAACATTATCAATTATTTTATCAAAAGTATTTATGTAATTTTTAACAAGTACATCTTTAAATTTCCATCACTAAGTTTGCTTTTTATTTCGACTAACATCAAAAACCCATTATAATAAGTACTACTTTTTTTTAAATATAAATATTTTTATGAAAGCCTTAGAATAATTTTTTATATAGTTAAAAAAATATTTGCTTTTATTTAGAATAAAAAAATTGATAGAGTCTAAAGTTTAATATACACTTTTCATTGGATTCTCAATCTAATTAATTATCTTTTGAAGATTGAATAAATATGTTAAATTAAATGCGTAATTAGATCCTTAGCATCCATATATTCAATATATTATTTTTGAATTAATTTAGTGAAAATAAGGATTATAATGAAGTTGCTCTCCAAATACATTCTAAAAGCTATCCCTTATTCATACATTTTTTAGAGGATAATAAATATTCAATATCTGGATAATCATTTCATTGTTTAGATATAAATTTTGTTTAATTTTTTCAAAATCTTGCTTGTATTCAAGGGGAGCATCCAATTAGTGTTTTATCTAGAGCTCCTAATCTATTAAACAACCTTTTGTCTAATTGATCAATGATCATAGTTATTGCAATTTATGATCAGATTAAAATATGTGTATAAGTATATATATTTTTCAATAATACTATTTATTATATTAGACATTATTAATAAGGCTTTTATATCATTCTGATGTAACTGTTATTTTTTTTGTATAATATTCAAATAATTTGAATTAGAAAGATTGGCTACTATTATTATAGACTGATAGAATGAAATTGCAGTTTTTTTTGATTATTCTATCTTATTAATAAATTTTCTATTAAGTAAAATATCAACAGCAATTATTCAAAATAATATTATTATCTTAATTATTTATTATTTACTTCAAAAACAAATGCAAAATCTAATCTTCTCACTAGGATGCCAATTAATTTTCCTTTATTCTTTGATTGTTTTAATTAGAAATAAATAGATATTATATTGTCATATGCAGAAATTGATCACTCTTTTGAGCTTTCCAATATTTTATTTATATTTAATAATATTAATTAAAATTTAATCCACTTATAACACTATTAACCATTAATTGCCAAAACTATTAGGTAAGAACAACTATTAATAAAAAAAAGAATAAAAAATCAGATAATTTTCAATATTACAAAATATTCAATTTACTTAGATGTTATTTGTTGAACAAAATAGAATTAAAATTAGTTATTCTAACAATTGAAATGAAAAGTTAAATCAACATCAGCATTCTAAAAGTTGAAGTTTGAATTCAGTGTTTGGTTCAATTATTTTATGTTGTAAATATCCTTGTAATTGATTATAGAATCTGAATATGGCTCCCTCCAGACTAATTTCTCTTTTAGAAATTAAAATATTTTATTTCACAAATACTTCATGTAGAAAGTAGAAATAGCTTTGTTTTCTTATATATAGAAAATCATTTTTTAGGGTACCAGCAATCACAATCTTAAAATTTCATCTTTCCCATTAAACCTGTATTGAGAGTAAGTAATCTCATTTTCTATTGGTTAAATAGGAATAAAAAAAGGAAAAATGAATAAGCTTAATAAATGTTATTTTAATATGGAAATGATGATTATCAAAACCAATTAACAGGATATTAATTAAGAATTAAAAGATATGTATAAAAAAAATCCATTTATATAATAATTACTATTTGCAGAATTTTTAAAATTCAAAAATTGCTTATAATTTTATAAAGCTTAAAATACAATATCTTCACATATTTATTACATTTTGGATAATTAAGGTTTAGATAAGTATTTATCATTAAATCTTATTAAATAATAATTAATATATCTTGACATAAATATTTTATTTATTATAATTTCATTAGCTTCTATTTCCACAAGTTTCTTTTACAAGTTCAAATATTCTTACTAATGGTTATACCATAAGACCATAAAGTAACAAAGATCCAGCCAAATAGTCATCAATTTACAAAATTAATCCCTTTATGTTATTAAATAAATTCTTACTCCTTTCCTCATTATTGATCTTGTTTCCAACATCAAATAGAATCCATACATTATACTGACTAATCCATAAAAAAATCCCATCCATGCATAATGAAAATTATACATTATCAAAAAGAATACGAAAGGAATGGCTATACAAAAAATGATAATGGCACTAACTATAAAATATGGAATGATATTTACTTGACTAAGAAATCTCTCTCTTTTTTAAGTACCCATAAATTGTAAATGTTAAGATTATTTAGCAAATCAACAGTCCAAGTAATCCAAACAGATAATCTTCCTTAACTTATTGCCATAAAAATAGATATTGCTGAAAATGTAAATCCATAGAAAACTAAGTACAAAATGAATATGATGTAATTTACAGGAGCCTATGGTTTACATTATATATTGTTACCTTTCTCACTATTGTTCCTCCAAAGTATAACGTGAATTACAAGATTATTGAAATAATCAAAGAAACATAGAATAACCAAGCTGGTGAATTATGGTAATCACAAATGATATAATTCTGTTATTCGTAGCATTGATAATAGGTATGTATTAGCAATTCTTTCAAGTCAGTGTCAAATCCTAAAGCAATCATTCCAAAATTAAAAAGAAACTCAAATGTCAAAAAACTATACATTTTCTTGAAAAAATCAACTCTTATTTAAGAATCCTTTTAGTAATCTTAAACTAAGAAAATAATATGTTAATACATTCAAATTAATTCATCTTCTAAGCTCTTCCATCTAATGTTTCAAAAGTCTATGGATTGAGGTATTTTTGTTGATTATTCTAATCTAACAAATAATTGTTCATTAAAATGAAGCTAATAATAATATTAAGTAAATTTTTATGGCTTTATGGGGTAAATTCATAAAATTATTGAACATTAAATCATTCCATATTTTATTTGAAAACAATTTTATCTCAATAAATAATAATAATTAAAATTTTGATAATAAATGTGATTCATTCACTATTTATTATTAACAATCAGCTATAGATTAGATAATTTAGAGATTTAAAATTTTATTTGATACTTTTTTAGATAAAACTTAGACCTATGGTAATATATGCTTTTATAAGTTCCATATATATCCATATTTATCGAATACAGATTTTTAGTCTCTAATCACAATTATTAGTATATTACCTATAATTATTAACATTCATATATTATAGTAAATATCTATATAAAAAAATGTTATAAGGCTAGTCAAGAAATTTCATTATGTTAAAATTTTTATAAAATTAAACAATTTTAATTTACATATTCTTTTGTTTAATATATAAACATCTCATGTTTTTGAATTCCGTTTATTCTGAAAATATAAACGGTTTTTCAAGTCTATATATTCTTTATATCAACTTTTTTGTCTATCCCAAATGAAAGCCAATAATTGATCAATATAAATAATTTTATGGAATTAAGAATAAAGTAATCATTTGAATTTTGTATTTCTAATGCTGAAAAAAAAAAATAAGTATGATTATTAACAGATTAGTAAGCCAACTATAAATGGACAGAGTGAAACTTTAAACAATTGCAGGGATAAGGATATTTAATATTATATATACTATGCTCTGATTGTAGAAAGAATTAAGGATAATCCGCTTTAATGTTTATTAAATAGCAAACCAAAGTATAAGAGATTGGGAACACTTGAATTGATAGGGTATAGAAACTTGGAAATATATTAATCGTAAAGTGAAAGTAAAGAAGGGAAAATATTACTAAAAAAAGCAAGCTGTGAAGTTAGTAATTGGATTGAAGTAGTGATGAATTTTTTACTTCATAGTACATCATATTTTAAGGGCTAATTTACAAAGGTTGTAAATGAGACATTTTGTATTATCACAAAAATAAAAAATTAGAATTGATGCAAATTAAAAGTAGAAAATTTTTAGACGTGATATATAAAGTCATGAAGGATTCAGAAATTGATGTGAGTAATGATAATTGCCAAAATTCATATATCCTGTAGTATATGTAAATAGCAAAAAATATTGTAAATGCTATATTTTGTATAGTAAGAGTTATGATAACCTATTAATGTATGTAAATTTATTAAAGAATATGTTAAAGGTTGAGTCCACACTATAGAATAAAAAAATGAAAAAGTATAATATTGAATTAAGGATTTTAGAAATTCTCTAATTTACTCATTAGTATTGATTGTTAGTTTGTTTTATTAAAAATTTCTTGGGTTTTTTCAAAAAATATGAATACAAAGAATATATGAAAATCAATTTCCTAGTATTTTAGGATAAGACAATTAAGAAATAACAATAGAGAGTAGATTTAATTAATTTAAGATTTAGTCATTCACAAAAGAGAGTATCAAATAGATGAAAGTGTTGGATATTTAATTAAAAATTTGAGAATATCAGATGGCAAACATCAAATTATATATGTATGTTAATATTAAAATGATTTCTGAAATAAATTTAATATTCTTATAAATATATGTCAAGTTCAAAATATTAATAATTCTTATTAGAAAACCCTAATATCCAGATTTCTGAAAAGAAATAATTTTAGATAACGAAGCAATTAAATATTGGAATTAATATATATATGTTATTAATATAAAATGAAGAAGACATTATAGCAAATTGTTGAGTTGGTGGAATAATTATTGTATTAAAAAAAACTGTATTTCTTGAATGGATTGTATATTAGAAAATAAAACAAAATAACTGAATATCATCAGAATGATGTCTTTACTTTCTAATCAATTTTCAAGGAAAAAGGAAATAAGAACTTTATAAATAAATGAAATCAAAATTTAGAAAGAATTCAAAATTGACTAAAACATCTATTTTGATATATTTTATTAGGTAGTAGCTGTTGTCAATATTGGAGATCTCAGAATAAATAATAAGAGATAATAGAGGAAGATTTAAATTTAGAAATATATTGAATTGAGAAAAGAAGAGTGAGTTCTCTAAAAATTATAAAATTAATTAAATTCATTAAATTTTAATCTTAAATAAGCTTTTTTTAAAATTATTACAATTTTTATCATTATTCTTTTTTAGTTTCATTAACATAAATTAGACTAATTTTATTATTTCATCATCCAAATAATCAAGTATTATTGTATACATTTATTTAATTATCTCGATCAATTACCTTTTTAAGGTAATGGTTTTCTTAGGTTATTAAATGAATTAAGTTGTTAGATTCACATAATTTACAATCTGAATTGTATTCTAATTCTTCTCTAAAATTATTAAGTAAATCAATACGAATTTATCTCCATCATATATCTATTTATATTAGTTATATCTCAAATATTATGATTAAGATTTAGAGTATTAAAATTTTATATATATTAATAAATTATAAAAAAGTATTAGAATTAATAATATTTATTGTCATTACACTTAAAAAATTCATATTTTAATTTTAATTATCCCTTCGTTTTTCTTAGTATATGGCATTCCGATTAATAATGCAATCATTTTTTACATAATTTGTATACTTGTTGAAAATTACTAAAATGTTTAACAGAATATATATAATTAGGATAAGTTAATAAAATAAATAAATGAACATCTTTATCAAGTGCAATTTGTTTCATTTTGAAACACTTTTTTTAAGACTACCTCTAAATCATCTTTTTTTACAGGTTTTTGAAGAAAAGTAGTAATTCCCAACTTTTGACCTTATATAAGATTTTCTTAAGTGTCATATGCTGAACAAATTACTATAATTTACTTATTAGAAACCAATTCAAGGATCTAATAATGATATATATTTTTACTTATTTACTAGTTTAAAAGCCATCTATTCCTGGCATTTCAATATCCATAAAAATTAATTTATATGTTGAACAATGTTATAACATCTTTTATTTTACTTTTTCAATTGCTTAAAATCCATCAAATGCTTAATCAGCTTCAATTTGATGATTATTTAGTATCATTTTTAATGCAATTTGATTAAATGGAATATCATCAACAATTAATACATGACAACATTTTTGACAGATAGAACCATATCTTTTTAAGAAAAATGAATCTTTTTACTTTAGTAGATGTTAGTTAAAATCTATAAATTTATCAGAAAAATATTCAGGACTTATAGGCAAAAAGATTTCAGGTTATTTTTCTACATCATTTAATCTAGATGTGTTTTTATAAGTCTCTGAATTTTAATCTTAGTCTTCTCTATCAATTTCAATTCTAGAATTATCTGATTTGATTAATTTGCTATCATCAATTTTAGGTTCTTTTAATTCAAATTAATCAACTGATTGATTAAATTTTCCACTTTATAAAGTGAATAAATGAGTTTATAATAAATTATTTTATAATAGATTTTAAACTTTAAATTAAACTACAGTTCCTTAGTTTTTTCTGGAACTTATAATTAATTGATTATCCTAAGATTCTATTAAACCTTAAACTAATTTTGCTGCTATATTTAACCCTAATCCTTATTATCTTGTTCCTTAATGTGATTTCAATACAGCTCCAAATTCAATAGTATCATGTATACTATTTTAAATTTAACTTAATTTTGGTTCTTCTATGCCAATTCCATTATCTTTAACTTTAAAAATAATGCTAAAGAGATCACCTTCTGTAATTTTTAAACTAATACAACCTCCTTCTTATGTAAATTTTAAGGCATTATTTAAAATATTGACTAATAATTATATAATCCTTTATTTATCATTTTAAACAAGCTTACCATTCAAATTTTCAGCAATCTTAATATTGAATTCTATCTTTTTTTATTTNTATGGCATTCCGATTAATAATGCAATCATTTTTTACATAATTTGTATACTTGTTGAAAATTACTAAAATGTTTAACAGAATATATATAATTAGGATAAGTTAATAAAATAAATAAATGAACATCTTTATCAAGTGCAATTTGTTTCATTTTGAAACACTTTTTTTAAGACTACCTCTAAATCATCTTTTTTTACAGGTTTTTGAAGAAAAGTAGTAATTCCCAACTTTTGACCTTATATAAGATTTTCTTAAGTGTCATATGCTGAACAAATTACTATAATTTACTTATTAGAAACCAATTCAAGGATCTAATAATGATATATATTTTTACTTATTTACTAGTTTAAAAGCCATCTATTCCTGGCATTTCAATATCCATAAAAATTAATTTATATGTTGAACAATGTTATAACATCTTTTATTTTACTTTTTCAATTGCTTAAAATCCATCAAATGCTTAATCAGCTTCAATTTGATGATTATTTAGTATCATTTTTAATGCAATTTGATTAAATGGAATATCATCAACAATTAATACATGACAACATTTTTGACAGATAGAACCATATCTTTTTAAGAAAAATGAATCTTTTTACTTTAGTAGATGTTAGTTAAAATCTATAAATTTATCAGAAAAATATTCAGGACTTATAGGCAAAAAGATTTCAGGTTATTTTTCTACATCATTTAATCTAGATGTGTTTTTATAAGTCTCTGAATTTTAATCTTAGTCTTCTCTATCAATTTCAATTCTAGAATTATCTGATTTGATTAATTTGCTATCATCAATTTTAGGTTCTTTTAATTCAAATTAATCAACTGATTGATTAAATTTTCCACTTTATAAAGTGAATAAATGAGTTTATAATAAATTATTTTATAATAGATTTTAAACTTTAAATTAAACTACAGTTCCTTAGTTTTTTCTGGAACTTATAATTAATTGATTATCCTAAGATTCTATTAAACCTTAAACTAATTTTGCTGCTATATTTAACCCTAATCCTTATTATCTTGTTCCTTAATGTGATTTCAATACAGCTCCAAATTCAATAGTATCATGTATACTATTTTAAATTTAACTTAATTTTGGTTCTTCTATGCCAATTCCATTATCTTTAACTTTAAAAATAATGCTAAAGAGATCACCTTCTGTAATTTTTAAACTAATACAACCTCCTTCTTATGTAAATTTTAAGGCATTATTTAAAATATTGACTAATAATTATATAATCCTTTATTTATCATTTTAAACAAGCTTACCATTCAAATTTTCAGCAATCTTAATATTGAATTCTATCTTTTTTTATTTCATTTAGAGTTTGTACAAATGTTCAATTTCTTCGCTTATTTCGTGTATTCCAAATAAGGTTACATGATATGAAAATTAATATGACTAAATTGAAGCATAATCTAATATATCATTAATTTAATGAATTAATAATGAAATAGAACATTAAGCTATGTCTATATATTCTTAAAACATAGAAGTTGAATCTTAAATTTTCATTAAACTTAACATTTATTAGCAACTATTTAATGGAGTTCTCAATTCATGAGAAAAGGATTTAATAAGACTATGATGAATTATTTATTCATCTTTCATTTATTAACATTTAAATTTATTAGTAATGTTTTTGATTATGATAAGCAATACAGAATTCTCTAAATCATTACTAAATTAGAAGTGACTTTTACTAGAAGATTTAACTTAGGAAGAGGCTGAGAAGTAATCCTATTATTAATTAGTCATTGTAGTTGGTATGATTATTAATTTTAGTTTCTTCTATTAATTGATTTGCAAAATCTCAGATTTCATGAGCCATTCATAAATAAATATCTTCTGATGAAATATTTGTTATTGATGTTTACTTTTCTACATATCATTTTAATCTAAAATAGCAAGATATTTTGAAGGTGACAATATGATATCCAATATGTCAATAGGAAATTCTTTATCTGATAGTTTCTTTACTATTTATTATAGAGTTCTATAATGAAATTGGTTCATCCCTTATTTATTTGTTGATTAACTTTCATCATCTGGGATCTTTGCATTATTTACACACGTTTTAACTTTCTCTAATACTAATTAAGCTCCTTAACATTCTAGTATTTTTTCACATTTATTATTGATATAATTAACTTATTAAGCCTAATTTAATATTAATATTCCAAAAGGAAATAAATTGATTAGATTTTAATATAATTAAAGTTTTGAATTATCTATGCTGCTTAAACTTTTGTAAAATTTCTAAGATTTTGAAAAACTTGTTAGATTTGAATATTATTTCAATTTCTCTTCATTTGGAAGATCTTTTAATAAAGTAGTGAAACACTATTTAGGTGTTTATATGAATGAATTTCTTGGTTAAGATTTAGCTTAAGAATGCATCAAGTAATTTTCAGTAAGAGGAGAGGCTTGATTATCACATTTTTTAGTTACTTATTATTCGATTATATGATTAAATTGAATTGAATTAAATTAACAATAATATGCAATTATTTAGTGTATGAATATAACAAATATTATGATAATGTTTTCTATTGTTTTTGAGCTTGGTAAACTTATAATTTAAATGGTACTTTTTACTAAAAGATATAAAGGAAGTCCTATTTTACATATGAAACTATATTTCTGAACTGCAATCTTCAAATAATCAATATAAGCAATAGTTATTATTAAACTATTTGATAAAATGCTTAATGAATTATAAATCTCATTTAACAATATCGTTTCAAAATAACCTACATAATATAAAAGAGACACTATATGGATAAATAAATTGAGTCCATAACTTTTTTCCATTTAATAATACTAAAGAATCCTCAAAATTAAGCATATTACCTCAATAATTAAAAGCGTATAATTTATTTATCCTTCTAGAAATAATCCTTATAAAAACCACCATAATCCTTAAATCAAATTAGTTATCAAAATTAAAATTCTAGAATATTTTTCTAAGAAATTCTTCTGTTCAACTTTCATTAAATAAATTAAATCGAATATAAATAGAGTATTATTAATTAATAATATTTTAAGTGAAAATATAATTACAGATACTGTCAATCTGTAAAGAATTAAAAAATTGAATTCAAAATTAATTCTCTTATCCTTTTCTTTTAATATATATTTTTAAGATCACAATTATTTTACTTATATTTTGTTTAAATTTTATAATTTGTCTATTATAACAAACAATTACATCATATAAATCATTTTTAATGAATTCTTATTTTTATTTACTCAGTAAAATAATTTAATAACAAAAATCACTTGATATTTAGATTTCTAAATTTAAGAGTATATTGATAGATAAAAAAACTGTTATTAGAAAGATATAACTTTTTAAATAACTTAATACTTTTGGGAATTTAATTTGACTATAATCTCATATGATTGAATAAATTTTCATATCCTATGATTTGTTACACACTTTACTAATCAAAATTTAATTTTAAGGTCTTTCTAATTGCTTTGTTAGAATTATAAAAAACTGCTAAATCCTTAAAATATAACTGATTAAGTAATTGGCAATTTTCTTAAAATTATAATATTGTATTTTTTCTTTTATTTTACAATATATTGATGGATAACTCTTAAATTCGAATGTTTATTATTTTAATTACTTTTTCTTAATATTCAAAATAATTTTGTCAATAGTATACCTTACTTATTTTTATTTTTATCTTATGTAAAATTAATTTTTGATAAGACTTAATTTATTTTGTTTTTTTAATTCTTACTAATGTCACTCAAGTTGACAAATTAAGTATAATTCTAAAAAAAATTCAAAAATTAAAGAAATCGATTGACTATTCAATTATTTGGAAAAAGATTCTGTAATATTGTATTTAAGAATAACATATGCATACTTTGATAATCTCCTAAATATGTGTTTCATATATTTTATTTGAGTTTTTAATCCACAGATTAATATCAATGAATTTAATTTAGATAATATATTTAAAAGATATAAGAAAACCTATATTAATAAATAAAGTAATTATTATAATACACCAATACTCATAGACTAATCAAATGATTGTTATTTAATTTGATAGGGGATCTTAGGCTCACTGGATTTTTTATTATCATTGTCAAAAGAATTAATTAAAGAATATGCTTGACATCTCCTATAATTAAAAATATCGTCTAAATAAATTGTCATACTTGAATATTCTAAACAGGTAGCCTAAACACATTTTGGATAGCTTATTTTTTTACCTCTATTGAGACTTTATGTTATTAGTTATAATGATATGCTGGAGAGCTTTTGATTACCTTGTAAAATTATTAAAGAAAAACTCAAAGGTAAATTATGATTAAAAAAATAACCATATTTATAAAACAGAATTATAACATTATTTGAAATTTGAGTTTTAGCATTGATCTTAAGTAGCTTCAACTTTAGGAAATTAAATATTACAGTTTTGAGTTAAACTGCGTCTCTCTCTTTCTAAAATGTGGAGTTAGATATATTTTAAGTTTTTCTACGAATTTTTTTAATTTTTATATCACAGTTCTATTAAATGATGACATCTTTGTTAAATATATATATTAAAAATAAATTATCCAATAAGATTTCTACGATAATGTAGGTAAATAATAAAAAGGATCTAGATCATAGATCTCTTATAATCTAATTGAATTAATTGTTAATGCAAAAGTATTTAGTAGGTTCAATTTTTTGAAGTTGAATCGAATATTGTAAAAAATTTNCTATAATCTCATATGATTGAATAAATTTTCATATCCTATGATTTGTTACACACTTTACTAATCAAAATTTAATTTTAAGGTCTTTCTAATTGCTTTGTTAGAATTATAAAAAACTGCTAAATCCTTAAAATATAACTGATTAAGTAATTGGCAATTTTCTTAAAATTATAATATTGTATTTTTTCTTTTATTTTACAATATATTGATGGATAACTCTTAAATTCGAATGTTTATTATTTTAATTACTTTTTCTTAATATTCAAAATAATTTTGTCAATAGTATACCTTACTTATTTTTATTTTTATCTTATGTAAAATTAATTTTTGATAAGACTTAATTTATTTTGTTTTTTTAATTCTTACTAATGTCACTCAAGTTGACAAATTAAGTATAATTCTAAAAAAAATTCAAAAATTAAAGAAATCGATTGACTATTCAATTATTTGGAAAAAGATTCTGTAATATTGTATTTAAGAATAACATATGCATACTTTGATAATCTCCTAAATATGTGTTTCATATATTTTATTTGAGTTTTTAATCCACAGATTAATATCAATGAATTTAATTTAGATAATATATTTAAAAGATATAAGAAAACCTATATTAATAAATAAAGTAATTATTATAATACACCAATACTCATAGACTAATCAAATGATTGTTATTTAATTTGATAGGGGATCTTAGGCTCACTGGATTTTTTATTATCATTGTCAAAAGAATTAATTAAAGAATATGCTTGACATCTCCTATAATTAAAAATATCGTCTAAATAAATTGTCATACTTGAATATTCTAAACAGGTAGCCTAAACACATTTTGGATAGCTTATTTTTTTACCTCTATTGAGACTTTATGTTATTAGTTATAATGATATGCTGGAGAGCTTTTGATTACCTTGTAAAATTATTAAAGAAAAACTCAAAGGTAAATTATGATTAAAAAAATAACCATATTTATAAAACAGAATTATAACATTATTTGAAATTTGAGTTTTAGCATTGATCTTAAGTAGCTTCAACTTTAGGAAATTAAATATTACAGTTTTGAGTTAAACTGCGTCTCTCTCTTTCTAAAATGTGGAGTTAGATATATTTTAAGTTTTTCTACGAATTTTTTTAATTTTTATATCACAGTTCTATTAAATGATGACATCTTTGTTAAATATATATATTAAAAATAAATTATCCAATAAGATTTCTACGATAATGTAGGTAAATAATAAAAAGGATCTAGATCATAGATCTCTTATAATCTAATTGAATTAATTGTTAATGCAAAAGTATTTAGTAGGTTCAATTTTTTGAAGTTGAATCGAATATTGTAAAAAATTTTAAACTTACTTGATTGTATATTTATGACTTGAAAAACATACTAAGGGATATAAATTAATTAAAATTGAATTAAGAAAATTCTAAATGTCAGATCTACTTAGTACTGATATTATTTCCTTAGCTGACCAAAAAATGAAGGAATTAGAAAGATAAAGTAGTATTTTAGTGTTTTAAAATTTTCCAATTTCTTAGATAACGTTATTTATTAGTCAGTAGTATATTGATAAAATTAATATTTATAAAGTATAGTAAAAAATTGATATTTATAAGTAGATGGAACTCCATACTAAAATTATTTTAATGAATTATTGTTATTTATCTTAATTTAAATTTATTGTATAAAGAAGATCTACTTTAGAGATATCTCCTAATATATATAATTTTTAAATGAATATTTTTTGATTATTTATAATAATTTTTCCTATATAAAATTATGAATCAACTCATCAATACATTAAATATCCTAAAAGAACTGCTACACCAAGAACATATCCTGAGTCAGTTGTGGTGGAACCATTATTATCTGTATTATTGCCATTTGTAGAATTGTTTGGAGTAACAATAGTGGTACCACATTAAGAGCATGCATTAGTCTTAGAGTTCCAAGAATACATATAAGCTGATTAGGTGTAACATTCTGTTTCAAGTAAGGTTTTAGGATCTGCAGCTGTACATTTACCAGCAACGTTACGACAAATATTATACTTAGTGGAATCCCAATTAGGGAAATAAGAGCATCTTCCTGATGCAGCATTATAAGATTCACAAGTATGATCGACACATGAACTAGCAGCAGTTGCTGTAGCAGAAGTCCATTTACATCTATTGGATGCTTATTGACAAGCATTTTAATCTTTAGATCCAGTTGCGCAATTTGTCATCAATGAGCATTTTCCTGTAGTTGTAGTTCCAGTTGTAGTTTCGGTCCAAACACAAATTCCATCAGTTCCTCTGGAATTGCATCCAGTCTTGGTTGTATATTTATCACATGTGCCTTTAGTAATACACTTGATTCCATCAGTAGTACATGTACTAATAATACTACAAGCAGCTATAGTAGTACCAGCAGGAATGTCATCACATGTCTTAACTCTACAAGATCCAGCTGCACCACCTGTACCTTCTACCCATTAACATAAACCTTCAGTTCCAACTGAATTAATGCAGGCACTGTTTGTTGTGTACTTAACACATGAATCCTTGGTAATACAATTTGTACCATCAGTTGTGCATGTAATTAATTGAGCTGAGCATCCTGAATGGGTTGTAGTATTTAGTTTAAGATCAGAACAATTTTAATCTCTACATGCGTTAGTAGTTTCATCCCAACTACAATCACCTGTTGAGGTGATTTATCCATTTGAATTTCTTTATACACCATCTTTATTTTTTTTACAAGCTTCTCTTACATATGTTGAACATGCAGCTAATTCAATACATGATGATGTTCCATTTGTAGTGCATTTAGGATTGGCATCCTAGCATTCTTGATGAGTTGTAAATAAGGCTGAATTACAACTAGCATATTTAGTACAAACTTTATTGAGAGATCCTAAGGCTTAAACAGTTGTAATGCATTCTCCATCTGTACCTGTCACACATCCTCCATCAACATTAGTTTTGGCACATGATGTAATACCAATACATTATTTTCCATTTGTGGTGCATTTATCTGAAATCCATTTACATTGTGAATCCTTACCCCAATCAAGACTTCTACATGAATCATAAAGGAAACATGCTCCTTTAGTACCATCAGGATTAGAAGAATCAGGTATCCATATGCATGGTCCATCAGTTCCTTAAACACAGGCAGCTTCAACAGTGGTCAAAACACATTTTTAAACGACGGCACATTTACCACCTTTACCAGCTGTACATTTGCCTTTAAAGTTTTTATCAGTTGGATTCTAACAAGCGGCATGGGTTGTACCAGATATATCTTTACATTCTTAGTTTCTACAAGTGGATGTGTCTGCATCCCAAGCACAGATAAATCCAGCTGCATCTGTATTACAAGCAGCCTAAGCTTTAGCTGCTGAACAAGTACTTCTTTAAACACAACCACCACCTTATTGAGTATTGCATGTGGATCCTGTTTTTGGTGTGAAGTATTGTAAACATTAACTTTCAGTAGTGAATTCTTTAGGTGCTGTATTGCATGTTTTAAGAACACAATAAGCTGGTTTAGTGGTATCAGTAGGAACAATCCATTCACATGCATTAAGACTTGAATCTGTAACGCATCCCTTTTGACTTAAAGCCTATGCGCATGTTCCTCTGTTGACACAGAATTTTCCATTTGTAGTGCATTTTTTTGAATTATTAAAGAGAGCAGCACAAGCTGCATCTTCAGTAAAGTTGTAATCTTCACATGTCTTAGTCTTGCACTTACTTCCAGTATCAATCATAGTGCAGTAGAAGAGGTGATTTGAACAATCAGCAGCAGTTGCAGGACTTACTGCATTCTCACAAGTTCTAGTAGCACATGATCCAGTGCCAGAAACTTCCAACCAAATACATTTATTTGATTTTGCGTCAACATCAACACATTATCCTTTACTCATTCCCTCGCAGGTTTCTGGAACAGGAACACATCCTTTATCATCCTAATCGACTGTGCATTTAAGACTGGCAGTATTTCCATATGTAACACAAGCATCATGAGTGGTATATGTATCATCAGCGTTTAAACAACTTGCATCTCCACATTTTTTAGTTGTATCATTCCAATAACAATTTAACAAATTACCAGCATTATCCTTATTCTTACTCTTTTTACATTAATTAACTGTATTGTATTCTGTACAAAGTGCAAGTGGCATACATCCACCTTCAGTATATGTTCCATCTTCATTTTTCTTAGCTGCCAATGTACAATTACCATCTGTGATATAAGCTGAGCATTTTTCATAATCAGTGTTTGTAGCAGGATCAGCAGATGTGCAAGTCTTATCAACACATTTATTAGGTGTTTCTGCTAAACTCCATTCACAGTCTTTCTTTGAAGCATTTATTTTACACTGATCAGCTACTTTATAATCTGAGCAAGCACCCAAATTAATACATCCTGCCTATGTTGTTAAATCTTCGCTTACTTTAACTGTACAATTACCAACACCTTAACATTTTGCGTGATCATTATAAGTTGAATCAGCATTAGTACAAGTTTTATCAAAACATTTACCTGGATTAGTGTTAGTGTTCCAGATGCATTTACCTCCTGATAAATTCTCTACACATTAATCTTTAGTTGTATAAATTGTGCATGCAACTCTCTTCATACATCCTCCAGTTCTAACAGTACAACTTTATTATTTAGCTGAGCATGTATCTATAGATGGAACTGCAACGTCAGTTGTAGTTATAGCATCACAAGATTTTGGTTTGCATGCTGCTGGGCTAACAGTAGCATCCCAAACACATGGTCCATCAGTCGTAGCATATCCACATTTTTCGCTTGCATCATATAAGTCACATGTTGCTTCGGCGGTAATGCATGCAGTTCCAGCAGAATTAACAGTACAAGTATTCAAGAAATGGAAACAATTGAAGAAATTGAAGGTTCCTTTAAAATCACCACAGGTTGGAGGATCTACTGTGTAATCTTTGCATTTTTTCTTATCAACAGGATCCATTATGCATGTAGCTTTGACTTCGGAGCATAAATTGTCGGATAATTCAACTGCTCCTCCTAAAGAAATATTTGCACAAGCTTAGGCATCTACTTTTGCGCATTTTGTTGTATCTGCTGAATCTATGGTACAATACCCCTCAGTCGAAAAATAACACAAAGGTAGAGTAGTATCTGTATAAGCTGCACAATTAGCTTCAATTTTTGCACAAGCTGATCCATCAGGTTTAGCTGTACATTTATTACCACTAGCTTCTCCACAATATTTTGCAGTTAATTTACCATTTGTTGCACTTGTCACATTGCCACAATTAGCATCATCGTCTATTATAACCAAATCACTACAAGTTGCTCCATTAACTTTGCACAGCTTACCATCCTTTCCTTTTGTGCATGTACTAGTTGGTAACTAAGAACAATTTTTATCAATGTAATAGCAACCAGATCCATCATTTTTCACAGAACATTCTGAATCAAACTTTTAGCATGTATTATAAGTCTATGGATTTGGACGACCTGCACAATCAGGTTTGCATTTACCAGATGCTCCAAATATACAACTACTCTTTAAAGTTCTACATTCTGCATCAGTTAATCCACTAAGTTCACTACATTTTAATGTAGAAACAGCCTTGCAAGCACCACCAGTATAGAAGCAATCTCCTTCATTTTTTGACCATTTACAAGAAGGTGCTTCAGTATAAGCACCACAGGTATCTTTTGCATCAATGCATGCAGTTCTGGCTGCATTAACTGAACATTTAACATTTAAAGTGTTACAATACTTTCCTGTGAGATTGGCCCCTTTAACATTTGCACAAACAAAATCTCCATCAGCTACATCCCCACAAGTTTTAGCGTCAGAATCCCATTTACATTATTTCTTATCTCCAAGCAGTCCACCTAAACATGCTTTTTCATTTCCATAATTAGCACAACTAGTTTTTTTAAGTCCACATGGTAAATTAGTGAGAGTGCATTAATTTGATTTTGCTGTACAATTGTCATGAGTAATAAAACTTTTTGAATCTTCATCTGTACTCAAACATAAAGTATCACTACACTTTTTGGTTGCCTCAGTCCATGAACATGGAGAATCATTTTTATCTTTTTTACATTAAATCTCTTATGTATATGCAGTGCATGCTTATCTATCGACACATTTGGATCCATCAGCACTAACTGTACATTTCTTGTTGGATGCATTTGTGCAATCATTATGACTAGTCTTATCTATATTTGCACATACATTTCCATCTACACATTTTGAAGTTGTAACATTCCAAAAGCAATTTAAGTATTCTACAGGACTTGAATTAGGAACTTTCAAAACATTAGCAACAACACAGGAATTCTTGCCTAAACCACTGCAATTTATTGGTAATGGAGCACAAACATTATTTGCTGTTCCAACAACACATAGAGGTTTATTATCCTTATCTTTCAACCATGCTTAACAATCATTATGAGCTACTTCATCAGATGTTACTACTACTTTACCATTATACCCATCTTTAGTTGCATTAGCACATGTTTTTTCATAACATTTGCTATTAATTGTATCCCATAAACATGTTTTACCTCCATTAGTTGCTGTACCTGCCACATTACATTATTCTATTATGGTACGTGACTCACATTTAGCAACTAATTCCATGCATCCTTTTTTGCTTTAATTTGGTACACAATTAGAATTTGGTTTATAGTTTTCACATAATTCTACAGTATAATCATCATCAGTCTTAGTTGGGGCAGTAGTACAGACGATATCAACACAAGCAGATCCAGTCCAACCACATTTCTCGCCATTAGCTTTCAATTCACAATTCTCCTTAATTAATGCTGAACATGTTAATGGAATATCCATACAGCCTTTCTTTGTATTTGCCAAAGTACATGTTTATAGGTAACCTTAGCATTCTGCATGAGTTATTAGTGATTGAGATGCAGCAGAACATTGTTTTTAGAAACAAGATCCATAGTAAATGCAATCAGCTCCGTCCTTGTCTTTAACACAATTGTCTTTATCAACTACATTTTCACATATTAAATCAACACAAGTTCCAGATGAGCTAACAGTACAGGTATTAATTTCTCCATTACAAGCTGGATGACTATTAAGTCTAGTAGGTAAAGTTGCACAAGTCTTATCTAAACAATTACCTGCTACACTATCCCAATAACAGTCTTTTTTATTAATATCTTTGACACAGGCATCTCTGATTAATATATCTGAACAATTTTTATTGGTTACACATCCACCATCTTTTTTTGTGATACAATTCTTACCTGGAAGATATTCTTCACATCCAGGATTTGTAGTAATGGTAGTGGGAGCATTTTCACAAGTTCTATTTTAGCATCCAGTAGCATTATTAGCTTTACCAGTACAAAGTTTTGAGTAAGTTGAACATTAATCATGACCAACATTTTCAGGTCCTGCATTTTCACATGTTTTGTCTTTACAAGTAACATTCCATGTACACTATCTATTATTGAATCTATTAACAGCACATTATTCTTGAACAGTAGAACTTGAACAACTTGTATCGTCAACACATCCACCACCATTTGTTATGCATTTTGCCAAAAATTGTTTTTGGCAATCAGAATTTGTTGTCAATGTATTTGGTGCATTTACACAAACTTTATCTTTGCATTTTTTCTCTGTAGTGGACCAATAACAATCCTTTTTTGCACTATCAATTTTACAACCTTCACTTATTTTACCATCTGCACATGTCTTAAGATCAACACAACCTCCACCTTCATTAGCTGTACATTTATCAGAGAATATTTAACAATCAGCATGAGTGTTAATACTTTTTTTAGCAAACTCACATTTCTTCTCAGTACATTTGTTATCCTAATCATTCCAATAACATGTAACTGATCTAGCCTTATTTGTCACACATCCTTCTTAAGAAGTTTGATCTTCACAATTAGTTCCTGATTCTACACATCCTCCTCCAGGTTTAGCTGTGCATTCTTTCTTTAAGTACAATCTACATTCTGAATCTTTAGTAAGTGCTATTGGTAATTAACCACATTCAGTCACATCAGAGCATTTTTTAGTAGGTTCATCCCAAACACAGTATGTAGTCTTACTTTAATAACAAGATGTTGATGTTAAGTATGTAGAACATAAGTCTATTTCAACACAAATTTATCCATCTGTTATACATCTTTTTGATATTTCTTAACATTCATCTTTACTGGCTTTCTCATAAGGGGTGCAACTTGTGAAAAATGTACATTTATTATCTATCCAAGCACATTCATTTAATTTAAGACAATCTGTTTGTGCTTATCCTTCACAATAGAGTGATTTTCCATAATTCTTGGTCACAGTCACAGGTCCTGTACTTTAAGGAACTTCACAAGCTAATTTGGTTGTATTCCATGAACAGCCTGGGTTTCTTCCACAATCAGCAAGTGTCAAAAGTTATGTACAAGTACAAGCTTCACTTTTATTTACAACTTGGCATGTTGCTATGCTTATTAAAGCAATAATTAATAAAGTTCTCTTCATTTTAAGTATTAATATTTAAAAATGTATTGAAGGTGTTTTTTAAATTAATCAAAATTTAATTATTTTCCATTTCTTCACACGTCAGTTTAATATTAAAATACTATCATCAAATTTTCTATTTAATTCAAATGATCATCATTAATTATATTATCTTATAATCATGAGGAGAAAATCCTTAAGGACCCAACTATTCATTAAACTATTTTACAAAAATGAAGGGCTATGTATTTGTTTTCAATCGAAAGTAATTCGGACAGATTTTATATATATGAAAGTTATATTATAAATATTGTACAATATAAAATAAAAAATTAATACGTAATACTTAATAAAATAAATTAATATAATATAGTATAATTAAACAAATTAAAATTTAATATTTAATATTTTTTACATTATTTTTAATGATATTCAATAAATTATACAACAATTTTGTCTATTTCCTCCAGCTGATTAAACTTCCATATCGTATAATTTGATTAATCCTTCATATAATCTTTTTGTAACAATAGCCTCTGTCACTCCAAATCTTGCAGATGGTGATATATCAGCAGTACCTTCCTTATCCATATTTGAATGTTCACCTCCTACACCTCTTGCTTATAATCCTAATTATCTAGCAACTTCTTTCAATTTTTTTTCATCTGTTCCTCCTTTTGTAATATTTGGGAATTTGCCTAAAATTGATTATCTCTTTCCTGTTCCCATATTAGTTGGACAAGTAGTAATAACACCATAAATAGGATGTTCAGCAAATTCTAATCCACTCTTTTCAATACCAGTCAATAATTCATGGAGTGATTAATCTACTTTACCTAAATCATTTCCTTAGACTATTGAGATGATTCTTAATTGATCTTCTTCACCAATCCAAATCATTTTGGTTTCATCTTCACTAATCCAAATTCCTCTTCCATGAGGCCAATCTGATGCTACACCTGAAGATGTTAAATGATTATCAGTTGTCATATCATTAAATAAATAATGCTTATTTCTCAATTCATCTGCTTATTAATTAGTAATAAAATTCTTATGACCTGGAGTCAAACTGTGATACTTTCCTTAAATTCCGAAACTGTCAAATACTTCTACCATCTTATTCTCAAATCTAATTCTCTCATCTTTATCCATAGATGGTGGTAAATTCCATCCCTTAACATTTCGTGCCACTCTTGCTCTCATTGACACTTTTTCTAATCTTGAATCTATTTTTGTAAGAACATATTCTCCAACAGGGATGTTCCAATCATGTTCCTATTTTGTTTAACCCTCTATTTTATGGTATTCTCTAATAAGTGGTTCTAAGTAGAAAGAAAAGACATCATAATCTTCTGGTCTAGTAGCATAGACTCCAACAGAGCTATCATTATTAGATAAACCTCCCATCATCACATCCAAGAATCTTTATTAATCAGAATCAGAAAGACTCTTCACTTTCTCCACAACTGCAGGTGTGAAATACTTATTTCCAAGACTGACTTTAGTCTTTCCTAATTCAGTCCATCTGGCTTAGATTTTTGCTAAATCTACCTTTCCTTCTGCATCTAAATAGGCCTTTCTGGCTTCCTCTTTGAAGACACAAGTATGCATTGATATTTAATTTATTTGATGAAATCATAAAATATCTTTTGTCTTTAATTGCCTAATTTATAATNTACTTAATAAAATAAATTAATATAATATAGTATAATTAAACAAATTAAAATTTAATATTTAATATTTTTTACATTATTTTTAATGATATTCAATAAATTATACAACAATTTTGTCTATTTCCTCCAGCTGATTAAACTTCCATATCGTATAATTTGATTAATCCTTCATATAATCTTTTTGTAACAATAGCCTCTGTCACTCCAAATCTTGCAGATGGTGATATATCAGCAGTACCTTCCTTATCCATATTTGAATGTTCACCTCCTACACCTCTTGCTTATAATCCTAATTATCTAGCAACTTCTTTCAATTTTTTTTCATCTGTTCCTCCTTTTGTAATATTTGGGAATTTGCCTAAAATTGATTATCTCTTTCCTGTTCCCATATTAGTTGGACAAGTAGTAATAACACCATAAATAGGATGTTCAGCAAATTCTAATCCACTCTTTTCAATACCAGTCAATAATTCATGGAGTGATTAATCTACTTTACCTAAATCATTTCCTTAGACTATTGAGATGATTCTTAATTGATCTTCTTCACCAATCCAAATCATTTTGGTTTCATCTTCACTAATCCAAATTCCTCTTCCATGAGGCCAATCTGATGCTACACCTGAAGATGTTAAATGATTATCAGTTGTCATATCATTAAATAAATAATGCTTATTTCTCAATTCATCTGCTTATTAATTAGTAATAAAATTCTTATGACCTGGAGTCAAACTGTGATACTTTCCTTAAATTCCGAAACTGTCAAATACTTCTACCATCTTATTCTCAAATCTAATTCTCTCATCTTTATCCATAGATGGTGGTAAATTCCATCCCTTAACATTTCGTGCCACTCTTGCTCTCATTGACACTTTTTCTAATCTTGAATCTATTTTTGTAAGAACATATTCTCCAACAGGGATGTTCCAATCATGTTCCTATTTTGTTTAACCCTCTATTTTATGGTATTCTCTAATAAGTGGTTCTAAGTAGAAAGAAAAGACATCATAATCTTCTGGTCTAGTAGCATAGACTCCAACAGAGCTATCATTATTAGATAAACCTCCCATCATCACATCCAAGAATCTTTATTAATCAGAATCAGAAAGACTCTTCACTTTCTCCACAACTGCAGGTGTGAAATACTTATTTCCAAGACTGACTTTAGTCTTTCCTAATTCAGTCCATCTGGCTTAGATTTTTGCTAAATCTACCTTTCCTTCTGCATCTAAATAGGCCTTTCTGGCTTCCTCTTTGAAGACACAAGTATGCATTGATATTTAATTTATTTGATGAAATCATAAAATATCTTTTGTCTTTAATTGCCTAATTTATAATAAATCAACACACTTATTAATTATTTATCACAAATAATTTTTTCTATTAGTGGATGATAATAGATCAATATTGATTAGAATCTAACATGATGGTAAGTTTTATAACAAATTATTATACAAAAAACAATATTTTTATTATATAACTTCTTTTATGATTAATTGCACTATTTGCCTTCCTTTAATATTAATATAAACATTAATAATTGATTACATTTCCTTTAATATATGTAGTTCTTTATTTATTTTTCATAATGTTCATACTCTATTCTCAAGACTATGATATTTACTTAAAGAATTATAAAATAAAATAATTCATTAAATTTATGATATAATTAATACCATATTAATTAGGATTCAATTCTTCAAGATAATATCACTTTATAGATTATATTAGGTTTGATATTAATGAATATAAATTAATCGAATAGTATGTTCTTGGTTATTATATTAATTTAAGAATATAGAGTCAATTTTTGTTTTGTAGTATGCGATAATTAATTTGTTTTATGAGGAATGAATTATTAGAACCTTTAGAGAAGTCGGGAGATAAATTTAATATTTAGAATAACTTCTTAATTTGACAATTAAATTAATTTCAATCTATTAATTATTCAGTCAATAGAGATTGTATGGGAATATTTAAAATGTTAATATAGTACAATACAATATGTATTATATGTCTATCAGATTTGAATCTATCATTTTAGTTATTTGAGAATATATATATATTAAATTTATAGTTATTTCATCTAAATAATGGGAATTTGTGGAACTTCATCAATGAAATCACATCCTAGTGATAAATTAATTGAATAGAATAAAGAAAAAAATGGAAACTAAATCTCTTAATCTAAAACAGTTAGATTGTTTGATTACAATCAAAATAAGATAGTTCAAGTACCAGTTTTAAAACCAGCTACTTAGAATAATTTATATTTTAAGCGATAAGCACAAAGTCCTAATCAAAATCAAGATACTGTTCAATTACTCACATAATCTTGATTATTGTGAATTAGTCATATAAATATATATGAATACTGTTATTCAGTTCAAGTAATTGGAATCTGTATATAAAACATTTAATATGAATATTATTCATTTAGTTAACTTGTTACTTCTAATAATATCGTAAAATTTGGTTAGTTCTTCCTCTTAAACTTTTCTAAACTCTCTTGCAATCTAAATTATTAATCAATAATTATACTAGTCCTTAAGTATTCATGCAATTCATTACAAGTTCTTCAGATTCTTCAATTGATGTCATTAACCAATGATAATCATCTGAAGTAGGTTTAATTTTATCTTATTCTAAATCATATTTGATTTCTCTCCATATTTCTCCTATTTTAAAATGAGGATATAATTATATAACTTCTACCATCTATTTCTCATTAGGTAACAATTCATTTTTATCAAATCCTGTTCTATATAAGATAGCAAATACTATTGCTCTTAAATCATATTCAGCTGATTTTTCAGTTATTCTTCTCACTAAATATGCTTCACTACCAACATCTGATTCTAAATCTTCCTATTAAGTTCTAAGTGATTTCATATGTTTTGATTTCTAATCTCCTTGTTAATTAGATATTCTAAGACTTGGATCATTTTATGGATTTAATGGTCTAAGTTTATTAGTAACAATTCCATCTGAATATTTAACTCCATATCTTTGATCTTCACCAACATAAATCTTGACTAGTAATTATGTACTATTAATCATTGTTTTTGGAGAATTCCAATCACAAAAGTATGGAATGGCTTTAGGATTTTCCATCAAATAACTTAAACAAGATAGAGTAAGTTTTTTATGCATATCATCACAAGTTTCCAAGAATTCCAATAATACATAGAGTCCTTCCGAATCTAAAAAGATAGCTTCAGATTTTCTATTGCCTAAAATAGTATTCCATAAACAATCAAGAACACTTACTGCATAGAGAGCATATCTTGCACTTGTACCTAAATTAGGATTCTTTAATGCATTAACCATTAATTCAACAGCACCTTTTTA